AAATGATATGGTAAACAAGCGCTTGAAGATATATTGAATTCCAGGATGTTATAATTTCAATTATGGAAGGTGTTTATTGGAATGAAGGATTCAATAATCAAATTGTATTGACAATCAAATCACTATTTGAGTTGCCTTCTTTTTTTTTAAAAAAAGAAGGCAATCCACTTCAAAACGTATCAAATTATTAATGAATTCAGCGTATGGTAAACTAATTCAGAAGCCAATTGTTAAGCAAAAGGTTTTGGTTAGTGATGAGAAAAGTATTCTTGAATATACTATCAAAAATATTAATAAGATGATCTCTAGAACACCAATTACAGATGATTTAGCATTGTTTGAAGAGCACAAGGCATTATCAGAACATTTTAGCCCAGCTCATCTAGGAGTACAAGTATTGGATAGTAGTAAACATATTATGAATACAGTGATGTGCTTAGCAGAAGATATTGTTGCTAAGACATGGTACCAGGACACAGACTCTATGCACATCGATTACGATGCTGTCAGTAGACTTGAAGATGCTTTTAGACAAAAGTATAACAAAGAGTTAATTGGTAAGCAAATGGGACAATTTCACGTCGATTTCGATCTTAAACGATCAGAAGGTAATATCTATGCTAAAGAATCTATCTTTCTTGGTAAGAAGAGTTATTTGGATATACTTGCTTGCGATGGTAATGATGTAGAAGGTTTTCATATCAGATGTAAAGGCATCCCATCAAAGCTTCTTGAAAATGATACCTACAACAAATATTTGGAACTCTATAACGGTGAGGAATTAGAATTTGATTTGAGTGATGTATGTCCAATTAAAATTAATAATAAAACTCAACGTGTAACTACAAGGTTAAATTTCAAACGAAAATTATCATTCAAATAGTATAATATGGACTCTCTACTTACTCAGCTCTATTATGATCCAAAAACGGGATTCATAGGTGCAACGAAGCTATACCAAAAAGCAAAAGCAATTGATAAAAATATAACGTTAAAACAAGTCAAAGAATGGTATAAGACACAAAGTAGCATTCAACAGCATTCAATTCAAAACAAAAAGTATCCTGAATTCAAAATTTCAAGCAACAATCCAAACGAATGGCAAATGGATCTTGCGTTTTGGCAAAAGCAACCAATATTGATAACGGTTAATATCAACAGTCGCATTGGATATGCAAAAGTGTTACAAAATAAAAAAGCAGATACAGTTCAAAAAGCCATTGATCAATTCATTACAGGGCATAGAGTGTCTGCGTTGATGTCAGATAATGGTGATGAACTCACAAATCATAGAGTGGAGAGATTTTTGGATAAAAATTCAATTACCCATGCTAATTCTATTCCAGGAGATCATACAGTGCTTGGAA